GGAACTACAACAATGACTTGACATCTTGTGATCACTCAGTTGGCAGAAATATTCACATCTTCGGTTTGAATGTCCAGATCGGATTCGAACCTACGCGCCCGAAGGCATGAGATGGTCTAAATTTGCCCAATGCGGTCTGGTACGGCCGCATTTGAGGGATTCGAGTCTCACGTATTAACCACTCTACCACTGTGCCACGGATGTAGTGTTGGTGGGCAACTCTCTGACATAATAATAATAGCTCCTCGCTTATAAAGCGCCCGCCTCCTCCCCCTTTTTTCTCAGTCAACAGAAAATGTTGAAAATAGTAGTACTCAGTAGTAATAAATAAAATCAGTTTTCTTGAGGTTCTCCGTAATTCTTTTTTTAAAATTATATATATATATAAACGAGATATTACAATATACGGCAAGGGTTGATACAAACTAGTAGTGCAGTGATCACTGATGATTTGCCTAATTGTACGTGAGTATCAAAGTTTTACCAAAGGGCGTTCTACAATATCAAATAAGACTACTATCTACTATCTATCAATTAAAAATGAAAAATGCTGTGGCTGTGACAGTTGTATCAACATCTATGCATTGATAGAAACTTTATTCCATATAACTTCGTTATTAAAATTAAAGTGAATAAAATATATATTTAATATTTATATGAAAACATAGTACTAATATAGTTAATCCCTAGTTTCCATCAGTTATATACTCCGTACGGGAAGTATTTAAGAAGCTACTGTACTATATAAGCTAAAGTGGCCTCCGCTTTGCATTAACATCGTGACCTATCTTGTCAAATGATGCGGCCTTGGTATTTCACGCCTCCTTTATCTCAGAATAGATAATGACTTCTAACTCAAATAGTCAGATTTCAATTATTCTGCGAAGTGTAACGTGTTTGAGAAGAAACAGTTTTTGTTTATTAATAAAATGAGAAGAATTTACTTCATACTTTATTCAGTATTTTTATATCATCTTAGAGTTTAGAGAAATTAGTATTCTTATGAGTTATAATAATATTAATTTATATTTTCATACTTTATTTCTTAGATACAAAGTATTATCTCAAAGTTAACAGATATATTTTTAAATATGAGAAGAACTTACTATCTTCTTAATTTCAAGAAGAAAAAAAAAAAATAATTATTTTTAATAAGATAAATTTATATTAAATATTAATTTTTTCTATTTCTCTTTTCTCACAAATCTTGAAGACATGTGAGAATGGTGTAATTAAAAGTTTAAAAGTTGATTAACTTGAAGAATCTATGAAAATCTCAAAAAAAATCTTCATCAGAGAATGAACTGTTTTTCTTCTCAGACGCTCTGGTGAGGATTGCTCTGAGCACATGTAGTTTAGTGTCATGCTGGATTAATTTACTGCCCGACCAGAACAGGAAGTCTGAGACCGCGAGATAACGCCTCCTCACCCTTGCGATTTTTCAAAGCCTCAACAAATGCATCACAGAACCCATTTTTATCCCAAGGGTCAAAGGTAACTTCCATCGCTTGCTCTTTGAAGTTCATAATATCAGCGGGTGGTCCATACAGAGGCCAGTGAGGCTTCCCTGGCAAAATAGGTAACTCCACAGAATTTCCTACAATGAAGTCCTTAATATACGGTAGTAATCTGTTGGCCATGCTCGAATCGCGATCAGACGAAATGCTTTGATCATGACCCATCAGATCTGTGTATACCTGGTTAGTGAATGCCGGCTTGACGATATAACCTGGAACTGGAAATAGGGGGACAGATAAAGTGGAAGAGATGAAGAAACATACAGGCTAAATCAGATCCATGAAGGCCCGGAGGTACACTGAAGATAAATCTGCTGGCTTTTCCTCTCCCACCACCGATTTTTGCGTAGGCTCGAGCAATCAACATCGAGTTACAGGCAGCCCACGAAGCAGTAATCCAGTTCCATGCCAGTTCCTTCGGTTGTTGGTATGGCGGTAATCGGTCATGGAGCATTTTGACTGTGTTATTGGTTGCGTACGGGATCGGCCTTCTGACAAGACTCGAGAAATACTCGGGCATATGTTCGTCCTCAGCTAACCCCTCGCCTTCATTCATTGTATTTGAAGTGAGTACCGCTTGGAGTTCCGGGTGGACCCGCCCCTCAGCAAGCAAAAGTGGGAGCGGTTTAGGAAAGAAGAAGCCGTCATTAACGGGAACAAAGCCCATCCAAGGACCAAACGAGCCACCGCCGCTTATATTATCACCATTTTTGACTTTATCAGCATTGAGAGCCATAAGTTCGTCCTCCGTCTTCGTCATGATACATCGAAGCCCACCCGAAGTGCAGTGCGCATCTTCAACAATCTCGTCCCAGAGGGCTTCGCGGTCGCACTTACTTGACGTATCCGGCATGAGAGTAGGAGAGAGTAGGATGGCCTGTGGGTTTATTTTAACACTCTATGCTTCCACTAGAAGTGATTGAGGGGGATGATTAGAAAAAGAGTAAGGGACAAACCTTGTTAAATGGTAATGGGATGGATTTAGGACCGGTGAGTATAGTGGTGATCATGGCAGCTCCTGCCCCGTGGCCAAATGCCGTAATCCTGTTTGGATCGCCCCCAAACAGGTAAATATATCTTTTCGTCCACTCAAGAGCAGCGAGAACATCATATATGCCAATATTTGCGTCCATATGTTCCTTAGCGGACGAAGCAAAGCCGAACAGCCCCATCCTATAACGGTCTCATGTTAGCTAAGTTCTTGACCTAACAACAACGATATATGCGAAATCGGCGGTAAAAAAACATACCGGTAATTGCTGGATACGTAAATAAAGCGTTCGTCTTTACCTCGGACAGTCTCATAAAACGCCATCGGGTCCCTCGACGTCAAGGGCATATCTTTGCCTCCGAAAACAAAATAACCCCCGTGTATGAAATGAACCACGGGAAGGTTGTCTCCCGGCCTCGTGCCCTTAGGGACATAGACGTCCAAATATAAACAATCTTCTTGTCCGTGACTAGTCATCGGATATTTATGAATATCAGGGAAAATGGTGTTCTCGGCTATAACTGTGGGACAATATGGATGTATTGATTCCTCTCTATATTGGACTATATCGTCCCGGGTAGGTGGAGTAACTGGTTTTT